CCTTCCGGCAGGCTCTGCTGGTCTTTTCCTGTGCTGGGATGCCAAATGCCAAGCTCTCTTGGTGTCTTCCTTTTAAATTGCTTGCTCCTTACTGCCTGCCAGTCAGTGCCAGTTTTCTGAAGCCTGTGTCCTTGTGCTCCTGGGATTGCCGGGAGATGTGTTTTCCTGTGCTCCAGAGTTGCGCCATGCGCCCAGACCTGGACCAGTGAGTTCCTGGCCAGCATGGCTGGAACTCCAGTTCCCGGCCAGCATGGCTGGAACCCTGTCTCTGCCCCACTCCCTAAATCTATTCTTGTATGTAGCAGGACACTAAGGTGCCTGCTACATACAAGAGCCAGGAAGGCTCATCAGGTGCTGGTTGCCAAGGCAACAAAAGGGGGCTAATGGGTTACACCTGCCTAGCCGGCTTAAAGAAGGGGCAGTGCCTGGCTTATAAAAACCACAGTCAGGAGGCCAGGCGGTGGGTTCCCTACCAGCAGCCAAGGCAGAAGGAGTTCCCTGCCAGAAAGAAAAGAGAAGCAGAGCCGGGAGGCCAGAGCAGAGCTGGTCACCACTGGGTGACAGAACCCTGGTAGGCCTGAGCGCAGTTTAACTGGAGGCTTATGTTTGCTTTGTAGCCCAGGGGCTTGTGTTTATGTTGCAGTTTGTTTACACCGGTGGTTTGGGTGAGGCTATAAGGGGAGGGAGGAGGCCTCATAGGGGACTCATGGTAGAGTGAGGACCCCAGCCCCAGTGAGGGCATGGAGTTCAGCTCCAGAGCAGAGCCCGGCGAGAGGGCAGCCTTGCGGAGAAGGCCCCAGTGGGGGCGCAGAGAGCCCGAGGAGAGGGGCAGCATTATGGAGAAGCCCCAGTGTGGGTGTGGAGAGCCCCAGTGAGAGGGGCAGCAGTACAGAGAAGGCCCTAGTGAGAAGGGCGGCGTACAGAGAAAGCCCATAAGGCTTAGAGATACAGAGCACCCGGAGCAGGAGAACTGTGGCCAAGTGGAAGAGAGGTAGCCTCCCTATAAAAACACAGATATCATCAAAGTCGTGGCGGGCAAGAATAGGAGGGTGCAAGTCCGAAGCTTGGCACAGTAGAGGAGGCGACAGGGGCTAGCACGGCGACCCTGCCGTCCCTCCTGTTACATTGTACATATTCAAATGTGTATTGTCTTATGTGGAGACATTTGGTAACACAGGTTGCAGGAGCATCTTCCCAAACATCATTCTCAATGCCATGTCCTTGACTTCCAATATAACAACTATTTTCCTCCATTTATGGTTTTATGTTGTTAACACATCTGGCTTGTACATATCTCAATTACTGACTGTTTCTTGGCTTCCTTAATACTATCAATCTTGTTTTAAACATAGATGCGAAAATTACTTATTGGTGCTTATTCCAACTGTGTCAATCTACTGCTTGTCTTTCACCTTAATTTTTGCTGCTTTTTTTTTTTTTTATTATTATTTTTTTTTTTTAAGGACCATATCTGACTCTATTTTTTTTATCAACCCATGTCTCTACTTTGGCTTGCCTGCATGTGTGCAGCATAGAAAGAAGCTGCTTACCTGGTTCCTTGACAGTTTCTTCTGCAAATTAATGTTATTCCCCTAGATCCCCTGTCAGTTTTGCTGACGTATTAGTCATGAGCCTGACAGAAGAAATTGAGGCCATTTGGGATCATGTGAAGGCTTTGACTTCTGTGGTGACCAACCGGTTTCCTAGAAGAGTGTTGTTGAGGTTCAAAGGGTGTTCTCCTTAAAGGTTCCCAGAGCTCAGTATCAGTGGGATTCTAAAGGTTGATCAGTCAAAGGCAATACTAAAAACTGCAGCTTGCTGAGGATGCTCCTATGATCAGAACTGTCCCTAGAGTCTGGTGAATTGGGGCAACTGTCCTGGGCCCCGTGCTTTGGGGGGGCCCCATGGAGCGGCCACAGCCCCTCCTGTGGGGCCCACCTGGAGCTGGTGGCTCAGTCCTGCACCAAGGAAGAAGCACAGAGACCCACCTCTGTGGGGGTACCACAGCCCTGCACAGTTAAGGGGGCCCTGCACCCCCCCTAGGATCAGCTCTGGTTATGATATTGCTTGGAACCTACGTCTTACTTATTTCTCTTTGTGTTGTACAATGAGTGAATTCCTAAATTGGTGGCCTTGGGTCTAACAGAAAAACAGAGTTGTGATCTAGGAGAAGCTATTCAGTTTTCATAAAACTTTTATTTGTTGGTTTTTGTCATGCCTATGGGGGTGGAACGAGGATGAGAATAATGTAATGGAAAAATAGGGGAGCAAGAGAAGGAAGCAGAAGGATCGTCATTAGTGGGTCTTTGTAATTGCCATCAAGTGGAGCTTTGTAGGTTTGACTCTTGAGGGATATGAAAGAGAAGTATTTCTGGGTGCTGACTGACAGGTTTAACCTAATCTGACACATGCTAAAGGGTTGGTATAGAACAGAGCATGAAGGAGTTTTGGGGAGAAACTGATTTATAGGCAGCAAAAGACAAGGATCTTTGGCAGCAAAGGTAGTATTTCACTTTATGATAACTTTCTAAATTGACTAGGTAGGGTTAATGGTAAAGACAATAAGCTTGCTTGTGAAAATGAAGAGGACTGTGTTCAGTAATGAGCCTGACTTGAGCATCAGCATTTGGAGTGGAGTTGAAAAAATAGTTTTTTAGTAATAAAGACCAAAACAGGATGTGGTTTTTGTGGTCGAGACACAAAAGAGATTTTGGGTAAGATGTAGGTTTGTGGACAGAGGAAAGACATTTGTGTAGAAAGAGGCAATAATACTTCTCTTTCCTAGAAAGTGCATCTGGAGAGAGCAGTGTCAAAAAAGTGTGCCAGTGTTGGGAATCATTTCCTAGGCACTGAAGCATGCTTCTGTGTTCAGGAGAGGCTGGAAGGCCACAGCAGAATGATCTTAGTTTTGGGTTATGCTGGTTACTGGTGTACATCTAATGCGATGAAACAACATTGTATTTTAATAGGCATAGTAATAGAACCGAACCGTTACTAAGGTAGGTGCAGTATTCAGACATATAAGATGTACTTCTGTCTCTCCGTTATCAATTCTGGAGATCTATTTACATTTTTTTAAAGTGTATTAAATTAGAAAAAAAGAAACTAACAACAATGTTCAAGCTAAGAACTATGCATGAAATAATAGGGCATAGACTGCGAAAGCTCATTCATGGCTTTGTGAACGAGCTAGGGTGGGATGGCACATTTATAGACTGCTTTTGTAAGATTATGTTAACCCGGTGCTAAGATGCTTTTACCAGTGGAACCCCCTTTTTTTTGTTCTTAGTTAGGTTTTCATAAGGTGGATTTTTCAAAGTGTTCCTGATATCACCCCAAAGAATAAATTAACTAACTGTACCTCATTGTATCTTCCTTTTCACAAAGAGTAATGTGGAGCTTTAACCTTTTCTCCCTTTCCAAAATCTCCATAGGGTTACACTGTCTCTTAAACTGCTTTTGAAAATCACTTTAAGTCAGTATATATTTGCTTTATTTTTAAAGCAAATCATTATTTATTGTTTCAGTTCTGTTATTTCTTACTTTTCATATTGTTTCACTAGAACAGCTGTCTGGTGAAAATGTCATCTTGCTTTTTTTGGGGTTTTCTTGGCAGTTCAGACTTTTACACGGTTTGCATAGTGTGGCTGGGAATTTTTGACGGGAAAAAAACATCAAAACTTGAAACACTATAGATCTGTCTATAATCTATTATAGACAGATCAAAGCCTGTTGTTCAGTTGCAAAATACCTGTATGTTAGGCACCCTGAAACTGAAAGGAACAACTGTAATGCATTGGTCGTAGCTGCAACTTTGTTAATCATTTTCCAATTTAAGATACTTTTAAAAATGTAAGTAGATCTCTTGACTTGATTATGGAGAGGGAGACTAGCTGAGTTAAGTGAGTTGCAACTGAGTTTCCATTATAAGGTCAAGCTTTGGTTATAGAAAAGTACGGCTGGAAGAGACTGCATGAGGTCATCATCCCTGACTAAAGCATCCCCATCCAGTGTCTGTCTAACTGCTTTTGCAAGTTTCCAGGGGTAGAGATTCCCCAGCTTCTCTTGGTAGCCTGTTTCAAGTCTTGACCCCCCTCATAGTTAGAAAGTTCTTTATAACATCCAACCTAAATTTCCTCTGTAGTTTGTAGGTATTGGTCCTAGTCCTGTCCCCTGCAATACAGGGTAGTTTCAAAGGAGCAGAATATACAAGCTATATACTCTTTTTACAGGAAGGAAGTTTGCCACGCATAAATTAGGATCTCTACAAGAATAAGTGTAGTCTTAATCTTTGTAGCTCTTGAACTTTTCTATGTGTACCATTATGTAATCCAGAGACTTTATGCTCCTCTTTCCTCCTCTTCCTTATTTTGAAAAGGTGCCTTTAGTAGGGATTGCAGCTCTAATTTGATTTTGCTTAAATTGGTGAACCAAATCAAGTAGACATTGGCACACCTAATGCCAAAAGTATTTGTAACTTGCTTCAATTAACCATTTACAGGGGTGTAGGCTGTAGCCGTGTTGGTCTAAGGACATAGGCAGACAAGGTTCTTTGGGTGAATTTGATATCTTTTATTAGACCAACTTAAATAGTTGGAAAAACAATTATTAAGCAAGCTTTCGGGTTCAAAAACCCTTTGTCAGGCTAAGGAAATCTATGCAGTTGGTGTGTGCTCTTCCTGGATGGATTGAAAAATTAACCATTTATGCACTCTTGTTTTAGAAAAAAGGTATGCAGGTTAAACTAACGTTCAATTGTCTTCTGTTTAAATTATTAATACACGTAATTAAGATGTGAAAAGCTATAAATATCTATTGTAGAATCAAGGAGCCTACCTTTCGGTGTCATAGTATCGTGATTTAGTTTTTAGAAACAACATATATTAGACTAACAAACAAAACTTTAAGCCCGTGGCTGCTGTACAGTTGTATTAATTTTGGAATTAAATAGCTACTTTTCTTTGCTGGTGTTAATATATTTTTAAATTCTCTCTTGTTAGACTCCATGAAGAAATAATGGACTTCTATGACTTCATGTCCCCTCGTCCTGAAGAAGCAGCTATGAGAAAAGAAGTAGTGAAAAGAATAGAAACTGTCATCAAGGATCTTTGGCCTACAGCTGATGTGAGTGTAGCACAAATACACAAGCTACATTTTACTAATGCACTATATAGCGGAGTTCATTTATTTTCCATATTATCTTCTACTGGAACATGTTTTTGAAATTCTCTGTTCATTGTTAACTTCTGGGGAAACTGAGATACCAATCAGTTTGTCCACGTTTTGGATACAATGTGTGTGTGTGTCCCCCATAGGTTTTTTGGTAGCTAGTGGCACTTCAATAAGCCTTCCTTCAAAGACGCCATTCTTATTTTTTATAGAAACTGCCAAAACTTCTTACAATAACATCTTCTATTCAGATATACTTATAGCTGCTGTGTCCTTTAACATCAGATGTGAAACCATCAGTAAACTTATACAAAGCTTTTAAATTGAGTGTATCAACTTTTTGCTCCTTCATCTGTAAATGAATTGGCATATGTTTTGGTATGTTTTTGAAGGATAGCTGCCTTATGTTAATTCTTAAACAAGCCTTCCTTTGCCCGAAGTTTTATGTAATGTGGCTGCTTTACTTCACTCGCTCAATAAATATGGACCTCTGTGGAACAATAATGTGGTGATTTTAAAGTATTTTATCTTAGTGCTCTATAATTCACTGGCTAGAATTAGTCTGTATACTTTTTGCTCAGGATATCGTAAGTTCCGTGTCTCCTATCTTGCTTTTAAAATTTATTGCTATCTTGTATTAAAAAATCTGAAGATGGTAGCACCCCTCTCCCCCAATTGAAAACTGTTTTCCTTTGGCTAAAATTTCTGTTCTAAGAGCAGAAAAATGTTTGGAAGCTTACATTTTCTGTAGGATTGAGATTAGTTTAAATTCACTGAAGGTTGTCATCATGCTGCTTTTGAGACTAGGCCTGGGTTTCCTGAATTGACCACCCTTTCCTGGAAGTCATTCCTACCCTAAACTTTAAAGACAATATTGACATTAGCATTAGGATTTATTATATTATACTCCAAGCTTCTTTGAATACTGGGGGAGATGCAGAGAAGTTACATTTACACTTTTCTCCTTTACCAAATGTTTATTATAATTTGAGAGGAAAGCCTAGAGCTAGGTCGGGATAAACATATTAAAGAGTTGGAATATTAGGGATTGCCTTAAGTAAACCCCCACTTTTCTGGATTTCTTGAACAATAAGACTTATGAAAGTGAAGTGCTACACACATATCTTGTTAATTACAGATGTTTCAGTTGTTAACTTCTTCTTCTTTCCAGGTTCAGATATTTGGCAGCTTTAGTACAGGGCTTTACCTTCCAACTAGGTAAGTAGCAAGTTACTGTGGTACATATATGTTTTAGTGTTTTACAAATATAATGGAAAAAGAGTTAACATACTTTCTTAAAATGTAAATACAGTAACATTCTTGACAAAAATCTGGAAACACTAAGAAGCAACAGTTTAATGATGGACCGTGTATTCAATGAGATTTCCCTGCATGTGAATGTAAGAGGGGAAGCTTTTTTGTCTTCTGTTTAATTAAATACAGTCATTCTTGAAAGTATTGACTCCAAAAGATGATAAATTTGCTTGATTTATTCAATTATAAACCTTAATATTCAAATGTGAATTGGTAACAATCATGGAGGAAAATTTTTTAAGGAACTGTGTTGTTTTCTGCATCTCAGTACATTTTCAGTAACCTTGAAACTAACTTTTTGCTGCTTTTTATTGAGCAGAAACTGACACGTTTGAAGATTTGGTCTTTTCAGTTGTGTTTTTTTTAAGTATTGTATACAATATTATTGTATACATGTACACACCCCAGTCTTCTGAATAGTCTTTCTTGGCTTTTATTGTATTTGTTGTATTCCATTTCTTATTTCTAGTGATATTGACTTGGTTGTTTTTGGGAAATGGGAACGTCCTCCCTTACAAATGTTGGAACAAGCACTAAGGAAACACAACGTGGCTGAGCCATATTCCATTAAAGTACTTGACAAAGCTACGGTAAGTTAGAAGAAACAAAATTCTTTGGAAAATTATACTGTAAATGTTTTTAAAATAATACTTTTTACTAATATGATGGTGAAAAATCCTATAGAAAAAAACTGTTAAAGATGGTACATTCATAAATAGTTTCTGCTGTTATGCATGATGACTTGTTTATTCAGTGGTTTCCATTTACTGGATAATATGTTGCTAGAGTACATGTTTGGCAGAGGTCTGCCAAGCAATTGCATGCAGTGAGAACTAGCTAAGTAATCTTTAATTACATGAATGAAAGTTGTAAAAGGACTTCTTCAATCACTTGTTGGCATCCTGCCTTGCTATGATATTGCACTTTTGTGAAACTTGCTGCTCCTGTAGATGGAAGCTTGTAGGCTGATTGTAGAATATTTCTTTATATTGGTAACGTGCTGTTTTTTATGGTCAAAACTTCTTGGGTAGCTGATTTGCAAAGTGACTCTAAATTTGGAGAGCCTTGAACCTATACACCAATGCATAGTATTGACTTAGGGGTAGAAAACTGCTCTAGTGGAGAAAGCTGGTGGAACTTTAGGTGTCAGCAAAACCTTTATAACAGTTCACAACCAAATAGTATGGTGGTAACATTAATAGTGACTTAGCCTGTGTTTACTTTAAAGTACCATATTTACCCAAATCCAAGATAACTTTGAATTTAAGATGATCTCCATTTTCCTCTCCCCCCACTCCTATATTTAGATTCTAAACATAGAAAATTATAGCAAATTTATAATTTTCCATGTATAGTATCTCATTAGTTGAAGCTTGTCTTTAAATTAATTGCCCTCACTGCTGTGGTGTGGAAATGAGTGACTTGGTCCAGACATCCTTACTTGCCTACTTGGTGCCCCTAAACCCCTTGCCCCCTGTGCCTTTGCTTATCCCGCATT